ATAAAGATAACATTAAGGGAGTACTACCATCCTCAAGGAAAAAGTGATCATGTAGTAATTAAGTTGAAATACTGTCTGCTATAGGAAAAACTCATCGTAAGGAAAGAAAAGGAGAGTACAATTACAAGAGAGGTAATTATAGCGGTCTTAAAGATTTCTTTGATGGTATAAACTGAGAAACACTTATGAAAGAAGAGAATCTTGATATACAATATTCTAGATGTCGCGGTCTGTAAGCAAAGAGCAAGATTCAAAACTGAAGCAAGAAATGGCCAAAAATGGTTCAATGATAAATGCAAGAAAAGGATAGAAAACAAATAGCACAAACATAAATCAGAATATCGAATCAGAATATCACTCGAAAGGAGTGAAATAAAAGACCTACTGAAAGGGTTAGACAAGACTAAACCAGAGGGACCAGATGAGATATCTGTGAGGGTGTGCCGAAGAATTATGTACTCCGTTATTGTTAATATTCCAAAATTCAGTGAGACAAAGAAAATTACCAAAAGACTGGAAACTTGCCAATGTCACACCTTTATACAAGAACGGCGATAAACAAAACTCTCTGAAAGGGTAATTAGGAAACAGTGGGTTGAAGTACTTGAAAAACACTATATGATATCAAATTAAAAAAAATGTTTTTAAGGAAGGAAGGCCATGCTTAGCAAGTAAAAATCGCCCACTATACTAATACAAGTTTGGAGACGTTACATTAAATCAAGCAAATAAAGAAAAAGACCTCGGAATAGTCATGAGCAGGAACCTAATCGCAAATGATCATATAAATGACAAGGTTCATAAAATACTAGGCGTGTATGTGGACAAAGACATGGTAAAGAAGGGCATTACAATCATCATAAGACCTAGTTTCGAGTATAGTGCAATGGTATGGAGTCCAAACTAAAAAAAAGGATATAGATAAACTAGAAAGAGTTCCAAGAAGCAGTCACAAGATGGGTACCTACTTTGATAGATATGAGCTACGAGGATAGACTACAGAAAATAGGTCTTATTACTTTGGAAGGAAGAGGAAAAAGAGGTGACATGATAATGATGTTCATTTATATTACAGGAAGGGTGAAGTTAGACAAAGATGATTTTATAATTTTGAACACAAGGAGGACGAGAGGAAATAGCAAAAAGTTAAAAGTAAAATCAGGCGAGAAAGCTGTCAAGAAGTTGGAACAATCTTCCAAATAACGTTGTGTGTGCCAAAAATGTGTATCAATTCAAAAAATTATATGATAATTTAAATATAGCAGACTGGACTATCTGAGCTTAGATATTCTCCCTTATTGAAACAACTAGGTAAGAACTTGGTAAGAACACGCATATGCATGTATATATGAATATATAGATGTATATTAATACATATCTATAAACAAGTAAATAAATAAGTAGATAAATATGTACACACACACACACACACACACACACACACACACACACACACACACACACACACACACATATATATATATATATTATTTCCTCTGTCTGGAGGGGGCATGGGAACATGTATATGATTTTCTTTTTTATGGAGAAACAACCTGATTGTTTTTTAGGTTTTTACAGGGAAAAGGTTGTCACGTGACGCTATGACGGAGCATGGGGACTGGGGAGTGGAATTTGAGGGGGGAGGGGTTTCATCGTGGCATGACATGTTGGTGCAGGTGGGCTGTTGATAGGGGGTTGAATTTGAGAGGGGAGGGGGAGGGGTAAAAAAAACCGTTAAAATGTTCACCCTGTCCATGAATTCTACTGCTTATATCAACCAATCAATCTATCCCTATTTCTCCCTGCCTCTGACTGTTTCAGATTACGAGATGGCTGAGAGAGGTATAGGAAAGCGTGTTTGTTGTGTGATTTGGAAATACTTTGAAAGAGATACTGAGAAACTTACGAGCGCTAAGTGCTTGAAATGTGGAACAAAACTGCAACATTCACTAAATACCTCCAACCTTTTCAATGAAAAAATAAAGAACCAAATACCACATAAAAAAAAACAACAGAACAAGACATGCTATACTGCAACAAACGACACAGAAGAAAATAAGTACTCTCATGATATTCGGACACTGACAGCTTTATAATTCAGGTGAAAACAGAAAAGGTGTATACAGATTCTTCGAATTCCTCGCTGAAAGATTGGTTGAACACATCAAACTTTAATAGTGAACACACTCTCCACAACGACGGCTTGAAGGGCAATCTAGACCCTGTTGAAATCTGAGGCGGGTGAAATATGCAATATGTCTTATCAGATACAAAAGGTATGAATATGGCAGAAAAACGTAAACTGAATCACAACAACTTTCGCCATGTCCTCGCGGAAAACTAAACACATCGGTTTACACAAACAACCACAGCAAACGGTAAAGGACAAATTTGCAGTGTCACAGGAGGAGGAGGGAGGAGGAGGAGGGGGGAGGAGGAGGAAGGGGGAGGAGGAGGAGGGGGGAGGAGGAGGGGGAGGAGGAGGGGGAGGAGGGGGGAGGAAGAGGAGGAGGAGGGGAGGAGGAGGAGGAGGAGGAGGAGGAGAAGGAGGTGGTGGTGGTGAAGGTGGTGGTGGTGGAGGAGGAGGAGAAGGAGGAGGAGGAGGAGGAGGAGGAGGAGGAGGAAGAGGAAGAGGAAGAGGAAGAGGAAGAGGAGGAGGAGGAGTGATGACAGCGGTGTCTTGAGCTTGATCCATCATACTCATTGTATAAAAAAATGCCAATGGGGAAACGAATCTAGCGCACCGAAGACAAGGCCGATACTGATTTCATTATCGAGATGTCGGTTTTATACAATGAGCAATTTGCCTTTCTTTTCTTGCGCGCTCTTAATCTTTTCACATTTTTTCATCGTATCCTCTTCGCACCTCCCCCTCGCACGATTCGTGTGCCAACGTTTTCAGCAGCCTCTAACCCTCTCTTCTTCAGTGACTTAAGATCTGGACAGCCCTCTCGTTTATAACGCCTGCCGCAAAGTCAAGGGTGGTCGGCTTAAATAATTTTGTGATGAATGATACGAGGCGCTTTCTCACATTGCCGAGAAAAGAAAATTGATCTATCGCGGTCTTAAATGTAAAATGGCTTTAGCAGAGGGCGCGTAACCCTTGGTGCTCGTGCCCTGTAGAGAGCGGAAGTGGATATTCCAGGATATTCACCTGTTGATTGCTAAATCGACATGGCGTGATAATGTTTGTTTACACATAAGTAAAATCAACTCCGCCACCGCTTCTCGGGGGCCTGTTTGGCATGTTTACCTTCTGATGGTGTTCACGATCCTGCTCACACACATCCATGGTGGAAACGCATTCGAAAAAAAGGATATCGTTTATTCTCATCAAAAACTAAAATACGATCGATGCGACGTGAAAACTTTGCATTGAAGTAACAGATATGAGGAAGTTCTCTCCTGTCAGACTCGGCAGCGATCTGTTTGTTGGTCATAGGCAAGAAAGCCGTTCTTGTTGACAAGGATATTGCTATTGCTCGAATCAAATGCTACCAACAGGTATTTTTTCCGATATGACAGTCACATATAAAGAGTTAACGTATTGGTATAAGATGTATGGATTGCCTTTCTTTTCGCTGTCAAACTGTGGGTTGATGTACTTGTCATTTGCTACACTTAACAGGCGCACGCAAGGAGTTAGACCTCCCCTTACCGAGCTTTCAATTAATCGGGCCAAACACGGGTCTGAAACAAGGACTAGCTTAGTCCGAGTCATTAATAAAGAGGTGTCGTAAGCATATCCGGGCAGGCGAACATAATTAACCATATGAAGCGAATATTTCTCTCTGAAAATAGACCTCCAACGACTAAACACAGCAAACCGACATCTAGTGTGCGTATTCTTCTCTGCTTATTGCCCGTACTGTGAGCGAGCTGTAAAAATCATCTAGAAAGGAAAGAGATGTTTCCCGAAACCTGTCCATTCCATCTACATATTCATAAGGGAAGGCTTAATTACCTGTTAGCAACAATTCTTGGGTGGTAAATGCTGGATAAGGTGTTTGCTATAAGCCAGTGAATCAGCATGTGATTTTCTGCGTTCGAGAAGCTGCGAGGCAAGTGCGACAAAAAATGTTAATGTACTTCTCCCTCTTTGCGAGAATGTGCTATCAAATTGATTTTTAAAAATTATGAGTGCATAATATTCGTTGTTTAAGAACAAAAGATGGACCACGTCTCTGCGTTTCTTCTCTGATTTTCCTTTGTGAAATGTAATACTTCTTTTCGCTGTTTGCCACACCTTTTTGCATGGTGTATGCAAATATACTACTGTTATTCTTATTTTCTAACTTGCTTAGACAATCCCATGGAAATTTCTCAAGATTGAATTTAATGTATCTCGCACATTTTACACGAGCGTTGGCATATGATGCAATTCTTTTTCTGTTTACCCTGCCTAGTCTACATGCTTTGTCCCATGCCAGACACTAGACAACACAATCTACATTAGATTTCCGGTTGAAGATGTACCTCGCACCGCGCACGCTGCTCTGATAGGACACGTACTTCCCTATAGCTTGTGGCAAGAGAAGACGTACCATGTATATTCCATAATCATTTTTTTTCGATATCAAACCCGTTTCCTTCTTCGGTGGTCAGTTCATCTGAAGTGGACCGCCTGTTTACGTCCTCTACGATCCCCTACATGTGCCTTCCGTCTCCCCTCGCTCTACGGCAGAGGCTGCATTCTCTTACGCCCTATTTTTATCTCCTGGGGGTAAGGATGCCCGTCGCGTGAAGGAAGCTGCGACAACAGAAAACGGGAAGCGCACCTGAAGCGGCTCATCTGTGCGGCTTCGTTTCCTTTGCCTGTGCTTTATTTGTTTTACCTTTGTTTTTTATGTGTATTTTAATAAACACTTTTACATCGTGTCTTAGACGAACCTTAGCCGGAAAAGAAAGAGATCACTAAAAGGAAAATGAATTTGAAAAGAAACTCTCAACCTTTATTCATTTCATCTATTTATTATCATTTTATCTTGATTTTGCTATAT